GTGCCAGCTACGGAACAACTACGAATGTACTACAAGTTTGACAGCCCTGGACAAATTTCAGTTGTGATAAATTTAAAATTAACAGCAACATGCAAACAGGTACTCTGCACTATAAAAGCATTAATAAGTTCAAATACATAATTGAAATTTTTTTTTCATAATCATACTAACTGTCACACAGTTACAAATTTATGTCATTCATCCAACGTTTCACATGTGTGCAAAACATAAGCTTCACACATGTGCTAAGCAATACTCAGTGGCTACACCTGTATCAGCAACAGCATGGGCCAATAAAAGTGGGCCTGTAGAGTGAAAGAGTTGATTTTAAGGACACGTTCCACATAATACTTGATCCAGGGGCTTTCTACTTTGGACTAGCTCTCAAATTTAATCTCAGAGACTGAAGGTTCATCAGTGGTTGGAGTGCATTAAGGCACATTCCTGCAGTGCATCTTCCAGATTATTTTGTCCAAAAGGAATCCAGCCCAGGTCACTCCCCAGGATCACTCCTCAAAGCAAATCAAAGTGGGGGAGAACAGGAGATTCACTTCAGAACTGCACTGCTGATCCAAATGAAAACACTAGCATAACACACTCATTGCTGGATGCTACTTATTAGGCAAAAACAAAGTGTCTAAAACAAAGAGAAGTCTAACTTCTGAAGGCCTGGAATGGAATTTGAGAGAATGATTTTGATATAAAAATAGCCTGTGAGATGGAATAGAAGTATTTCAAGTTTGATGCAAGCTTTTAGAGTCAACTCTATGAAACACAAGCCTATCACACCCATGTGGATATGAATCACTTTACTGGAACGGCACGCACGTGAAACTGAAAGCAGAAGTTTATTTTTACAACAAATTAGAGTTAGACACTTCTGAAAGTTTTAGGTATTTTAGTCAGTAACGTTCAATAAATGCCTCATTACTGACAAACAGCGATGAAACAAATTAACACAGATTCACACAAGTCTTGTCAGATTGCAATTATTGGGATTGGGAACGCAATTACAGAGGAAGTATTTGGTAAATTTGAGCAATCTGAGTGCACTGGTTAATCCTTGAAATAAGAATCCATTACTCGTAACGCTGAGGCACTGCTGGTAAAGTGCAACAATTATGGTGATAGTAATTGTTGCCTCAAGAATGTCCAAACATTCCCCACAGTGAGTCTTCTGTCACCCCATCTCATCTAGCGAGCACGTTCCTGTAGTGCTCCTCGTCATGAAAACAGTTGAGCACAGAAAACGTGAAGGGGTTTGAATCACATTCTTGAAGAGAAGCATGTGCTTTTTGTACTTTTCTGAATGGAAGTACTAGTTGCTGAATATGGTTTCTTCAGACACCAGATCAGAACTGCATTCTCAATCCAGCAACAGTGACATAATTTGCACCAGAGAGAATGACCACTTTGAGAATTTCAGCCTTGGTATTTCTACTAGACTTCTCCATTCTCCTCTCCCATCCCATAAAAAAAGTGACAGTGGATTTCTATCACCTGAAGAGTAATTAGAAAGTTTTTAGAATTGAAGTCTCAATTTCATAACAGTGTATTTTTTTTTTTTTACTAATCTGAGAAAGCTAAATGTCATTCACTTGTTATTCTAGGTTACCTTTAGTTACTAACAAGGAACAGTAAAACCATTCAAAATACTTTACAGATGGCAGTCCCACATTTTATAAAATGTGGCCTGATTCTCTAAATTTAGTTCCACGTTTGATGAATTTCCCTCTTGTATTCTCGGAGTTATTCAGAAGCAGAGGATTTAATGGAAAAAGTCTACCCATAGTCCAGGCAATAAACATGGCAGGACTTCGAACTTACGAAATATTTTCCCTAAAGCAGAGAGGCTAACAGACATAAAATGTCACATTCCTTGTTTGGGGACGTAACTTTGGCACCCATCAGTGCACAAAATACTTGATCACAGCGAAACTGAAGTGGTCTGAGCCCAGACGTGACACTATTCACTCTGACTACATTATAGAGCACGCAGGTAGAAGTAGTCATCTGCTTCCAAGGCCTGGGGAGCTACAGGATAAGAGAGACAGCATGACCAGGACCTTGAACAAGGTTGCACGAGTAGAGCTACACTTTTGGAAGGAGGTGGCAAAAATTAACTTCGATGTTTGCAGAAATGAGGTTAAACCTTTCATCCTGTAGTCTGTACCTTAGAGTAGCAGCCTCCATTGGCACAGATAATGGTTTAAAGACTGAAATCGAGTATTGACATTGCCACAAAAGAAAACGCTATGATTCCATTTCCTCTCTCTCATAGCACACTAATTGTGGAGGGGCAAAGTCCAATAATCTCTCAAATATTTATGCATTAATTCCAAAATGAACTAACAAGAAAGAACAGTGACAGCGGAGTTGTGGAGAGAGCATGTTGGTTGAAGTAATGCACAAAAATTCTTCCCAGTTGCGCAAGCCAGAGCACACCACATCTGTAGGCCACACTATGTCTCAACCCACAGTTTTCATCATGTCCACAACTGATCTATATCCCCTCAATCTGCCCAAGCTTTATTACTTTTGTCTGGTTTTCAGTTAGGTTGTTGGATAGCTATTTGTTGCATATTTAAAATCCAACCAAAGTTTCTTTTCCTTTCATGGAAAAATACAATTCGGCTTCAGCATCTAAACGTGTATGATAACAAGCAAGGAAGATCTAGATTTTTTGATGCTACCTCACAGAACTACAGAAGGGAAGAAGTTTGTTCTTGGGATATAACGTACCTATACCAGTTAAAAAAAATACAGAAAGCATATTAAAATATGCTGTTATGAATCAAAAATTCTTTCTCACTGGAATGCACTTTAATACTTTATTATACATACAACATCAGCCATTTATTCTGATTAAGGAATCTTTATTCCCAGGTGGACACAGATTTCAAGTATCTCACTGTAAGCATTTGGAGTCATCACATAAATATGATGAGGTGATTCTAATTAAAGTAGTAATTATTTCAAATTATTGCAGATTTTTCCAAATACCTCCAGCCTATTTCCAGAAATAATACGAATTTCAACCACAGCTTTTAAAATTATCACCAAATTCTAGAGAAATTAGTGTACTTTTGGATGTCCCAGGGGGTACTATTGTAAGAGTAGGGGGTGTTGGAAGTCCCAGACATATCATCTTAGATCTTCAGTCCTGGAATATCTGGACTACCCTACCCTGTAACCACACACTGCAAAGCTGACAACAGAAATGCTGGAATATAGACTGGAAATGTTATGAACTCACCTCTTCCTCTTTCCACCCCCATTTCCCCAACAGACTTAGGCTAGAAAAAAGCAACAAATATCCACAGTTATCCTTAAATCTAAGTTCACTAGAATAAAAAATATGCACTTGAATGCTGTATTCTGTAAAGAACCAGCCTTTTCTGTGAGCTATACATATGCTTTCAAATTGAGCATGTGCATTGAAAGGTGTGGCCAGTGAGCAAACCTGAATCAATACATCACACTTGTTTGTACCTTACTGATCCCTACGAAAGTAACTTGACAATCCTCCACCCCAACAGCTGTGAGCTGCAATTGTGTCCTTCAGAATTTCTGCATGTAACCTGTCCATGCACAGGTTAGTGTTCGTTTCCTCACTTTTCATAAAAGGAAGAGCATGTATTGACAATGGACTCACATAAGACTTTATTTCATAATGAAAACTCAGGTTACAGTGGCACTGTTAAGAATGAGACCACTTTCCAGGCGAGTTAGGTCACTGACTTACCACTTCAGTAACTTTGATGTATGGCCTACATGCAGAATTTAACCAGTGGCCACTTGATCAAGACAGATAAAAAAAACACATTGAAAAGAAACACATATCACAGATACTGCTGTTTCTGGCAAAAACATGACTCCAACAGTGCAGTTCTGCACGCTTGATCTTCTGTATCTAATCTTTTTTATTATTATTTTTTACTGTTTAGAAGTTATGAGTCATTCTCTAGGACAAAAAAAAACCCAAAACCAACAATAAGGTAAGTATAAGCCAATTTATTATGTCTCCCTGCCAGGATATTTTTCACTTAGCTACGGATACTTTCTGGTTTCTCAAATGAGTCTTCAACTCTGATTTCACACAGCTACTGATTTTCCAAGTTACAAAAACAAGCCTGCATCTTTAATCCACAGTTGCACAACTGTGTTACCAGGCTCTGTTCCAGTTAACCAGTTATGAATAAAGTTACAGTTTTTGAACAAGCTTATTTGTCTGTTCTTCAGAGACTTTTTAAACTACTGTCAGAATGCTGGAAAACAAAGCTGTAGCTGTAAATGAAAAAAAAAAATTAAGTCTCATCTTCCCAGATCAGAACTCAGCAGGCAAACATACTTCTCTATTTTTAGGATAGTCTGCAATATACCTTGTCAAACTTCCCTACATAGAGGTGGTCACAGTATCAGTATCTTTTGTGCAAATGCAAATAAGTTATAACTTAAAGAATTTCTCTTCAAGATGAATGCACTTTTAAACAACCTTTTGAAAACCAAATATAAAACAAGTTAATACACTCAGAAACTGGTTTTACCTGCAGCATCACAGAGAAACCTAAGAAAAAAACAGCAAAGTGACGTCCAACTTGAACAGCGCTCTTGCTCCTGGATCAACCTTTCTGAATTTACTGCAAGACCTGGCAGAAGAGCTTTACAGGAAAGAGCTTCTAAACACAAGCACAGAGCTGAGAAGGAAGCAAGTGATTTTTAAGGACCAGCATCTGCCTCTGAATGACCGCAGTTTTTCAAGCACTGAAAACTGGTGCTGACATCGGTGCATCTTTTTTTCCTTCTTACGCGTTTTCTATATAGGAATTTCTGGTTAGAACAATAAAGGGGTGGAAGTGTTACAGAGTTACACCAGAGAGGCGATGTCGGCGGGAGGGGAAAGAGAAGAGGGGTGAGAACCCATAAAACAAATCGCCGAACGTAAGGTACCGTTCAAATAAAAGGCGCAACAACTAGGGAGAAACGTTCGAGCAACTCACCTCGAGGGAGCGGGATCAAAGCGGAGCTCTCAGTCGGAGCTGGCTCTGGCCCTTCAGGCCCCGGAGGAAGAGGTTCTCTCGCGTGGGACATCTGCCAGCTCTACACTGAGTAGTAAAGAGCCTGCCCCCCCCCCCTCCGACAAAGCTAACGCGCGGCCCTGCGGGAACAAGCAAACGACAGGACTCGTTAACGGGTCTTAGGCGCGAAAAGTAACTGCTCGGGGGCGAGGGACTGAGCAGGGGACAGCGG